TCAGTTTTCCTATTTCCAGCATTCTCTCAGTTTGTGTTTTCTTTATTGTATCTATTTCAGTTTTCAGGTCTTGAACTGTTTGATTTTTTCCTTCATCTGTTTGATTGTTTTTTCTGGGCTTTCCTTGCTTTCTTTAAGAATTTGTTGATTTCGTGCATTTTGGGGTTTTTTTTCTTCCATTTCTGTAAGGGATTTTCTCATATCCTCCTTGAGGGCCTCTTTCATTTTCAGAAGGTTGTTTTTAAGGACATTCTCTTCTGTTTCATCTGCACTGGGATGGTCAGGTCTTGCTGGTGTAGAATCCTGGCACTCTGGTGGTGTCCTGTAAGTTTTTCCATTGTTGGATGTGTTCTTATACTGTCTTCTTCCCATATTTTCTTCCAGTGGGTATAGAGGTAGTCTCTCCCTCTCCTAGCTGGGTATGGATTCAAGGCTCTATCCTCTCTCTCTCTCTCCTTCTCTCTCTCTCCCCTCCCCCAGAAGGTGGAGGGTCAAGACCGGAATGGCAGCCTATGATGGCGGCTGCATTCTTCTGCCTCCAGGTCCCTCTACGAGGTTCTGTGTCAGGAGGGCAGGAAAGAAATTCTTGTATATGTTTTTACAAGGCTAGACTTTGATGACACAGTGAGCCTAATGCCTGATCACAAAACATGAACACTGCACAGTTCACCTGTATGGGTTACACAAAGGAGTCAAGTCTCTAAGCACACAAAGGAGAATTACAGTTGCTAGCACATGAAGAGGTAGAATAAAGAGTGAAAATTGGGGACAAGGTTTCTGTTTTACAGGATGAAACCATTGTAGAAACTGGAAATGTCAGTGATTCAAACAACACAAATGGGCTTATTGTTAAAACTCCAGGTGTCAAAGTGTTCTAGATCACTGACTTACCTTCTTGCCAATCTGGAAAGAGGTCTCATAACTACAAAAAAAGAATTTGATCAGTAGATGTGGAGAGCCAGCTTGCTTTTACTTTTTATTGCCAATTGACAAGACCTAGAGCCCCTTAGGAAGAGGAAACACAATAAGAAATTGTCTAGATCAGGCTGGCGTGTGGGTATGACTGTGCAAAATTGCCTAGATAGATGATTGATGTGGATGGTACCAGCCCAATGTGGGTAACACCAACCCAGACAGATGTCCTTGAGATGTATATGACAGCAAAGGGCTGGAACCAATAAACAACATCCCACCGTGGTTTCTGCCTCCAAGTTCTTTCCTGGAGTTCCCATCCTAGTTTCCTTCAGTGATAGACTGTGACCCACCAAATAAATCAATTTACCTCCTACCTTCCTGTTGGTCAGTGTGTTTTATTGCAGTATCAGAAAAGCAAGCAACATCAGACACTCATCCATCATGCCTCCTCTTGGCAAGCATTTATTAAGTGACAAGAGAGTACTAAGAATGGTACTGGATGATGAGCATAGAGCATCAGATTATGCAAGGTCAATTTACATTTACTAAGAAGTGTCACTGAAATTGCAGGGGTGGCCTGGAGTGATGGTGCATGTCTGTAATCCTAGGAGACTGAGGTAGGAGGAGGTCAGTTTGACACCAGCATGGGGCTCTGTAGTAGGACATTTTCCTAAAAATGTAACCAAGCATTGTAGTTGTCTGTAACTGGAAGCAGTTTTTGTTTTGTCCTGGTCACCAGGTCCCAAACAATCACAAGAAATTTGTATTAATTACAAAATGCTCATTCTATAGCGCAGACTTATTACTAACTAGCTCTTACAAACAAAACTAAACAATTTGTATTGAGCTGCATTTGCCACATGGCTGGTGGTTTTACCAGAGCATCTTGTTTCTCTGGCATCTGGCTGGAATCTCTTGACTCAAGCCTTCTTCCTCTGTGTCTTCTCAGTTTGGGTTTCCCACCTAGCCTTACTCTGCCTCTCTATAGGCCAAATCAGCCTTATTACTAACCAATGAGAGCAAAACAAAGCCACAGCGACAGAAGGAATGTCCCACAAGAGTTCTTTGAGTGTTGGGAAGGAGATACGATGCTGTGGAAGTTGGAGACACATCCTACTCCAAGAAGCTTGGGACGGCTCACCTGCAAGATGAACGTTCTTCAAACCTCAAGGCCTGCCCTCCAATTCCACAACATTCTAGAAATCTGCTGCCAGTTGGAGCAGTATTAGCAGATAGTCTATGTATATTCCCCTAGTCACTTATATAGCAAATATTGTATGAGGGCTACATAATATTGCTTATGATGTATTGATTGCAAAATATAAGAAGAACTAGCATTTATGTGTTCATGCAGATGGGATTTGTGGTTTTAATTTCATTTGTTCTTTGAGATTTTTGTGCATGTATACGATGTATCTTACACACATCCACCCCTCATTTCCCCACCTCCAACTCCCCCTGAGATCCCAATAATGTCTCCTTTTCTTCACCATGTTCTCTTATAAACTTATAATCTAATCAGTGTTGTCCCTAAGTGCATGGGCATAGGAACATCCATGGGCCCAGACAACATTCCAGGGGACACACTATAGGAAAGGGGCTGCCAAGGGCTGGAGAGATGGCTCAGCACTTAAGAGTACTGAACGCTCTTCCAGAGGATCTGGGTTCAATTCCTAGCACACACGTTTCAGCTCATGACTGTCTGTAACTGCAGTTCCAGGGGACCCAACACCCATGGCAAAGCACCATTGGGCCTCATGCTGGAATGTCTGACCGGCTTGGTCCTGAGTGGGTGGTCCCAGCTGCTATAACTTCATGTGTGCAACAGGTGTGTCATGTCTGGGGGACAGCACTCCACAGCACTCCTCCCCATTCTCCAGCTCTCCCATCCTCCTCCTAGAGATGTATCGTGTGTTATGATTGTTGTACCCACTCAGAGAGGACCCCAAGGCTCAAGAACCTTAATGACACCAAATCCAAGTACAAGAAGGTCACTTATTTCTGGAAAACCAACTTGCTGGGGCTCAACTCTGTCAGGAGAGCAGCAAAAGCAAGGCACTTTAAGAAAAAAAGGAGGGGAGGGGGGGTGTCCCGAGTCTGCAAGTCCTAGTTTGCAGGGCATAGTAAAAGTTATCAGAAAGAGAAGGCCTTGAGAAGAAGGGAGGAAGAGCCCTGAGACTGCAAGTCTCCGTAAGGTTCCCATAGTTACAGAGATTATTTAGCACAGTAAGTCTTTATACATAGTTATAGCATCTCAATTTTTCATACTAAGTTATCATAAACCAAAGGGCCTTGAGGAGACAATAACTGCCTTTCCTTAGGTAGAATTAATTGGCACATGTGTTCTCTGGGATTCCACCACCAGAGCACAACCTGGGAGTGTGGGCTAATTCGGTGTGAACATAATTTTACATGTGTACACACATGGTCATGAACCCTCTTGTCTTTCTCATTAGTATACACTAATTTAAAGAGACCCTTGTGGGAAGATGACAGGGCTCCATGGAGAAAGGTGTTGGCTGCCAAGCCTGATGACCTCAGTTTGAAACCCAAGCACCCACGTGGCGGAAGGAGAGAACCCAGTCCCTCAAGTTATCATCCAATCCCCACACGTGTACCCTGTGGACACACAGAGATAGAGACAGAGAGATAGGCAGACAGATGCCGTAATTACTTTTCAGACAGAAATTCCACCAAAACCCAAAAGAGGAAGAGTCACCTAGTGAGACTACCAGGTGCTGAGAATAATAATGTAAATCCAAGTGTCCTCCAGCTAGCTTAATGATCCCACATCAAAGGCAAGCTGTGTAGCCACACACACTGTGAGGTTGCTTCCAATCCTAACATAACTTTGCGGTTTGTTTTGGTCTTACAGGCAGGGTCTCACTACAGCCCTTCCTGGCCTGCAATTCCCTAAGTAGACCAGGCTGACCTCACACTGCTGAGTTCTGCTTCCTCTGCCTCCCCTCTGCTGGGATTACAGATATACGCTGCTAAACCCGGCTCCTTATTGTGCTGTGTCTTCATGTGAAATGCATTACTGTAGCTCATGCTAATCTCTCAGAGCCTGATTTTAACTTACTTTTAATTGACAAACGAAATTGTGCAGGTGATTCTTAGGTTTGACTATTTTTAAGGTCAGAGGAGGTATCCTTGTACCACGTGTTAGATACTTTACATGCTGCCACATCTAGTGTCTGATCAAAAGCAACATAATAAAGAACAGCTTATTGTGGCTCACAGTTTTCCTGTTTTGAATTATTTCTTATTTTTATTTTATATCTGTGGCTCACAGAGCAGGCATGTTCACCATGTGTGTGCAGTGCCCATGGAGGCCAGAAGAGGGCGTCAGATCCCCTAGAACTGGAGTTACAGGCAGTGAGATCCAAGAGGTGGGTGTTGGGAATTGAACCCCAGGCTTCTGCAAGAGTAACACGTGTTCTTCAGGACTGATTGGCCCTCCATTTGAGGGTTCAGTTCCCCGTGGGCAGAGAAGCATGATGGGGGGGATTATGAAATATTGTGTCAGCAGTCAGGAAGCAAACAGCAAGTGGGACCCGGCGGCTATGAATCATCAAGGTTGACTCTCAGTGACCCATGTCCTCCAGCTAGACTCCACCCCCTAAAGATTCTCCTACCTCTAAAACAGCACCCACCATGGGGGCACCATGAGTTGAAACACATGAGCATGTGGAGCAAATTTCATACTCAAATCACAACATACTCTAACATTTATATGAGATTAATATTCAATGTTTTCTTTCTAAAATTTGTCTTTTCCTTGCTTCACCTGGTATTCAACTTGCATGGGAAAGATGCCTTCACAATCCTTTTGAACTCCAATCCAGCTGCTATGTCAGTGGAGAAACAGAATGCTTCCTCTTCAATACATGGAGCAAGTTAATACTTTGACTATGTTCAAGGGGACATTAGATAATAGTGACGTCATCCACTCATCCTAGAAGGAGCATCCCAGCAATAGAATCTTGAAGAAAGGATTTAACATACTTGTGCACTTTCACCTCAAGACCACTAAGTTAGAAACGCTCCCCAAGGAATCGGGTAAATGAAGTCATATAGAGAGGTCAGGGGGTAAAGGTACCTCGTCTCTGAATGAAGACACGAACTAAGGCAGCCTTGACCTCCTTGTTCCGCAGGCTGTAGATGAGGGGGTTGAGCATGGGGGTCACCATGGTGTAGGACAGGGACACCACTTGCTTGCTCTCAGGGGAGTAGCTGGACTTGGGGCACAAGTGGATGATCCCCGTTGTGCAATAAAACAGAATTACTACGACGAGGTGGGAGGCACAGGTGGACAGGGCCTTGCGTCGCCCAGAGGCTGATGGCATCCGAAGGACAGCAACCAGAATCCTGGTATAGGACATGACTATCAGAGATACAGGAACAATCATAATTAACATCGTGGCCACGAACACACTGGCCTCGAAGACTCTGGTGTCTGCACACACCAGGCTCAGCAGAGGTGGTATGTCACAGAGGTAGTGCCGAATGCCCCGAGACCCACAGTACGGGAAGTTGAAGAGCCAGATGGTGAAGACCAGACCCACGGGGGTTCCTGCGAGCCAGCAGGTGGTGGCCAGCAGGTGGCACAGCCTCAAGCTCATGATGGTACCATAGTGCAGAGGCCTGCAAATGGCCAGGAAGCGATCCCAGGCCATGACTGTGAGGAGCAAGCACTCAGATGTGACACAGGACAGCACGAAGAACAGCTGCAGGGCACAGCTTATGGGGTACATCCCGCGACCAGGTCGCAGCAGGGTCACCAGCAGACGGGGCGCCACGTCCAGTGAGAAGCAGATCTCCACCAGGGCCAGCTGGCGCAGGAACAAGTACATGGGCGCTCGCAGGCCTGGGTCCAGGCTGGTGAGCAGGGCGATGAGCGTGTTGCCTAGCAGCGTGAGCAGGAAGATGGCCAGGAAGAGCACTGCGAGCATTGGGCGCAGGGAGGGCACATGTGCAAAGCCCAGCAGAACGAACTCCAGTTCACCTGCGCGGCTGTGATTGGTCCAGGGACGAGCTGCCCACAAGGGTGTCATGGGCTCGGGATTCGAGGCTGCTGAGCTAAAGACCAGGGAGGAACCCTAGGGAGTACCAGAGGGAGGAGAAGATGAATTGAGAATTGTACTTCGTGAGTCTAAACTTTCACCTTGCCTAGGAGAGCTTATGAATGGTAAATCAAGCCAAGGCGTCACCATGGACAGTGCCCTTCTTAAAATCCCCAGTGAGTGCTGATGAAGCAAGGTACCTCGTCCTCTAATCTAGCCTGTCATTGCCCTTACAGCCTTGATCTTCAAAAAACAAACAAACAAACAAACAAACAAATATACAAAACCCTTAGGTAGCCCTGGCTGTCTTGGGCTCCTTATGTAGACCAGGCTGTCCTGGAACTCACAGACATCCTCCTGCCTCTGGCATGTAACACCATGCCTGTGAGACGGTTCTTGGCTGGCTGCCATCCTCGTCCACTTCTGCACTTGTATCTCACTAGGATTCGTTTCCAGAACCTTCTCATCTGTGGTCCCTGCTATTTCCTTCTCACTTCACGACCTTTGTCACGCAGGCAGCCTTGGTGAAACTTAGTGTGTCACAAAACCAAAACAGAACAAAGTGATGTCAGTGCAGGACATGGATTTGTGGGACAGTGAGGACTCGGGTTGAGATAGACAGAGCGGAGAGTGAAATGACAGTAATCAGAATTACATAATCACATATGTAATATAACATATATGAGATTGCCAAAGAGCAAATTAAATTTATGAAAAAATTCATAAAAAAAGAAATTAACTTTGGTTTTGTTCAGGGTGTTTTGTTTGTTTATTTTTTGTTTGGCTTTTGTTTTGAGTTTTTGTTTTGTGTTTTGAGATAGTCCTGGCTGTCCTGAAACCCATGCCCTGCTTATTCATTTATTCTTAACTTACATGTCTTTTATGTATATCTGTGTTTTTATGGGATTCCTGTGTGTGCAAGCATGTGTTTCTCTGTGTCTACCTGTGTTTCTTGTGCTTTTTCCCTGGCTTTCCTTCTGCTTGTTTTATCCTATTCCAGTTTGTCTGTGTTTTCTTTATCTTCTTTTGTTCTATGATTATTCTTTAGATGCCTGTTTGTTTTCTAAGGAGAAGAGGTGTGGGTTAGGACCTGTAAAAAGCGGGGGAGAGGGAACTGTATGAAACACAGGAAAAAAGACTACTGTAAGGACAAAAAGTACCAAAGCTCATTCCAGCCACACTCTTTATGGTCTGGGCATAGGGCCCTGGAGAACTGAAACCCTGGACCATCCCAGGCTGAGGATGTAGGTATGCAATGGATTTTAATCATCATCAGACATTTTGTTTTGTTGTCTTTTTTTGTGTTTTCATGTCAAAATGAATCATTCAACTAGAACCAGGGCTATGATCTCTCATTGCTTAAATTCTCCATCACCCAAAAAGAAAAATCAGATCCGTTTTGTATCTCAAATCATCATCTTCAGGGATTAAGTTTCTGGACCACTTCTGAGCCAGGAAATTCATTTAGCAGCACCCAAGCAGCATTCTTAGTGAATTAGAGCATTTTGAGATATGATCGTGGCATCCACCAAGGATTAGAACTGTTTCTAACATGCCTCTGATCCCCACCCTATGCTAAGGATGTGCACACAAAGGACACAGCACCCTCCCCTTATTTTTTTCTTAAGACCGGGTCTCACTGCGTAGCCCAGGTTGGTCTAGAAGTCACAATGCAGCTCAGACTGGCCTCCTACTTATAGAGATCCCCCTGACTCAGGCTGCCAAGGTCTGGGGTCACCAGGACTTTCAGCTTGCTCCTCCATCACAATCAACATCATCCCATCATCATTGTAGTATCACCACGATTATCGTTGTCACCATCTATAAGACTCTAGGACCACCGCCACAATCACCGTCACCATCAGCATGGTCATCTGAATCACCACCACAACCACCATTATTACCACATCAGTATAATCTTACTCATCGCTACCATCATCACCATAATATAATCTTAGTCATCATCATGTCATGACTATACCATCATAACTTCATTCATCATCATCATCACCACGACATTATAATCTTTACCCTCACCAACATCACCATCACCCCACCAGCACCACCAGCAGCAGGAGCAACAGCAGCATCACCTAACTATATAATCTTAATCTTCATCATCGTGATTAACGCCTCCATCAGCATCACTATCACAGAATGAAAAAGAAAACAAAACGATGTTCTTCCCCCAGGGATCACTACAGCATCTGTCAGAGCCCGTGTTCATTCTTGCCGGCAGCATGAACCCTTACACTTCCTGGAGAGTCAGCTCACCTCTTCTGCTTCTCTGTCTGTCTGGAATAAAACTACTCTCTCGATCCAGGAGTCCCTGGAGCTGACTGGGATCCAGAAACCAAAGCTTTCAGTCTTTGGCTCTGAGCAGAAAATTAGAGCCCAGAAGACTCTCTCTCCCCTTGGAGAATTGTGGTCATTAGGTGACTCCGTGCCCCAGGTGAAGACACAGGGAGGCAGAGAGTCTGCAGCCCCTGCTTCCCCCAGAGACTGTGGTCCTGGCCATGCTTCCCTCTTGCCAGCTTTCCCTCAGACCTACTGGACTGTGTTTGCCCCTGTCTATACACAGGGAATCCCCACTGCCCTAGATGCCTTGTAATGTCCCTAAAGATTTCTGCTGCCGGCCCCTTCCATCTGCATGTCTGACCAAGTCACGGCCCAGCTCTCTATGTCCCAAGGGCTCCTGGCCATGCCAGGGAAACTGAGAAGGGATTGAAGTATCGGTGTGAGAAGCCCGTGGATCCAGTTCTGCTATGATGAGTGAAGATGATAAATAAGGAAGGTTTGCATGGACCTCCCAGTGGGAGAGCACACACAGCCCTTCCTTCTTTCTGGGAGAGCCTTACCTGTGGGCACAAAGCAGAGAGCTGCAGAGGGGCAGCTGGAGCAAGTCCATGTGGCTTCGGATCCTGGCACCACCACTCTTTGGCCATGAGACATTGATAAACTCACTTCTGTTTGTCGTCCAGGAAATGACATTCATGTAGGACACATTTTATAGGGCTAGAGAATGTCAGTTATTTAAAATATTTTATTCTGTTTTTAATCCTAGAGGGTGCAGGTGCCTACAGAGGCCACAGGCATTGGATCCCCAGGAACTGGATTACAGCTGCTGTGGGGGTGCCTGGAATGGATGCTGGCACTCACACTCAGATCTTCTGGAAGAGCAGTACACATTTTTTAAAAGCTTTTAAATTTTTTATTTATTTATTTTTATTTTATTTTATTTTCCAGTTTAAATTTAGATAAGAAACAAGGTTGCTTCACAAGTCAGTTCCAGGTCCCTCTCCCTTTCCCTACCCTCCTCCCGTAGCCTCCCCCAACCCCCCCCCATTATCCCCTCATTCCCTCAGGGAGGGTGAGGCCCTCCATGGGGGTGTCCATAGTCTGTCATTTCATATAGGGCAGGGCCTAGAACCTTCCCCAAGAGTTCAGGGTGAGAGTGCACCTCACATAGTTCTATGGGAGTCCAAAGTCCATGTGTATACTTGGGATGGGTACTGATCTGCTGCTTTTAAAATTATTCATTCTTTTTTTAAAACGTTTTCAATGATTTATTTATTATGTATACAGTGTCTGCCCACATGTACACCCACAGGCCAGAAGAGGGCACCAGGCCTCAGTACAGATGGTTGTGAGCCACCATGTGGTTGCTGGGAATTATTTTCCTGAGATTTTTAGGTATCATGGCTCATTCTCTTCTTCCTTCTTTTCTTCTCTCCCTCCTCCTTTCCTTCTTCCATCCCTCTTTTTCCAGGGCAGGGACACACTTCTGCTCAGGCATGTCCTGGGAGAAGTCATTAGTGGTCTTTGGGAACCTGCAGGTCTTCAATGATGGAATCAGCCAGTATGTCAGCATGGATGGGAAGGGCTTGGCAGATGATGGCTGCTGGAGGAGGAAGAACCAGGTTCCTTCAAGGGTGTGACTGCTGGTAGGCTACCTGGGACCCAGTGCAAGACCACACCCACTCACATTTTGGTCATCAGTAATCCGGCTTACTTTTACTAAAAATAAAAGAGAAAGACAAAAAATTGGGGAGCAGTTGCAGTGGGGGATGGCCTGGGAGGATTTGCCTGGGGCAGAGAGGATGAATACAAAGTACATGGTATATAAGTGTGAAATTATCCAAGAATAAATAAAAATCTATTTTTGAAATAATTTCTTACATTCAGTTTCTAAGTATTCCTTTTTTTCTCGGTGAAGTTTCATTCCCACACCTGTAAGGTTTCTAACCTTTGATTCCACATTGCTGCCATCATCTGTGATTATTTTTTTCTGAGTCTGAAGTTGCATGGGAAATGTAAACAAATGTCCTTTTCTAACTGGTCTGGCAGAAATGAAGATAGTCTAAGAGACAACTGTCTTTAAGTCATTTTTTGCTCCCCCAGCCACCCAATAAAACTCATTGATTCATCAACTTGAACTTCAATGGTGTCCTTAATTTGGTCTGTCCTTGTCTGGGATGAATAGATATTTCCTCATGTCTCCCCAGGAATAATGTCACACAAGAGATGGTTTGCTTCAACTGTCAACTTGATGCCAGGTAGAGTCACCTGGGGAGAGAGTTTCAGTGAGGCACTGTCTACATTTGGTTGACCATGGGCATGCCTGTAGGGGATGGTCTTAAAATAAGTCAAAGTTATGCAGGAAGACTCAACCCACTGTGAGGGGCGTCCCTTCCTAGGCAGATTGTCCGGAACTGTACAAGACTGAGAAACTCTGCTCTTGATGTTGGATCATTGTGTCCAAATTCTGAACCCCCAAATCACCGAGACCCATTCTGATGCCAAAGCAAAGAGTCTTTTATTGTTGATTAATGAGCTAAGTGCATTAACTTGGGCCCTTCATCCATCCATCATGGAGGGTGGTGTGAGAAGGAGTCTCAGGGCCAGCTAGACAGGGAATTTATTGGGCAGAGTAAGGGGAGTGTCTAGGGTTACACAGCAGTCTCAGGTCTGGTGTACTTTCCGGCTTGGAT